GAGGCTACAATGCTTGATAAGAAATGTACTCATTATCTTGCCCATGTAATTGTAACCCCTCTGTACAGTATTTTCACAATAAAAAAATTAAAAAAAAATTAAAAAAAACACCTGATAAAAGAAACCTGTCTTATTTTTGAGTCATACTTGGAGATACTGCCCATGTGAAGATGATAATGAAGAAAAACATTTCCTTTCTTCTCTACCTGCCCCACCCAAGTAACTGCCCTGACCTCCCAGCTCCTTCCAGGTTCTCAGAAACTGGAAAATCCAGAGGTGCAGGTGTCCCTTGTACTGCCACAGAGCTGGTGCTAAGTGAGACAGACACCTACTTTCTCACAGATCCTTCTGCTCACTTTTTTCCTTCTGTTCACTTTTCTTACTCTTTTTTCTTTCAACCTTCCCTCCCCTCTCAATTCATCCCTTCCCATTTGGTCAATATTCAACTGACCACCCACTTCTACAACTGCTGCTCTCCTTCATAATTTTTATCTCTATATTTGTCTTAGATTTTCATCATCATCTCTGGAAACTTCTGGAATCTGAATATCACGTTAGGACTCCATTAGGTGTACACATAACCTGCATTTGTTTGAACCCAAACCCTCTTTCTTCACACTTCACTTTCTTTTTTTCTTTCTCTCTCTCGCTCTCTCTTTCTGTTGGTCGTGGGTCTTGAACTCTGGGCCTAGGCTCAGGGTGAGTGCTCTACCACTTGAGCCACAATGCCACTTCTGGTTTTCTGGTGGTTTATAACTCACAGAGTTTCTTGCCCAGGCTGGCTTTGAACCGTGATCATCAAATCTCAGCCTCCTGAGTAGCTAAGATTACAGGCGTGAGCCACGGGTGCCCAGCTTCACACTTTCGCACTTCACTTTCATTGGTGTCTCCCCAGAACTGAGTGATTTGAGCTAGCCTTTATTTCTCGAGTTGCTTTTTTTTCTGTATACTGTCTGGTTTCCTATCCCACTGGATTCTTTGTCTGGTCTCTTTGCCTTCACCATGGGCAAATACAAATTGAGGTTGAAATATAATTCCTCACCTATATAAAGATAGCCCTGAGAACTAAAGGGTGCCCAGTGAACAACAGATGATAATTGAGATCTTGTCACACTCTTCTTAAGACTTAGGAGTCAGGGACAGCAGAGAGAAGAGCTTGGAGCCAGATGCCAATGAACCTAGTTGAAAGGGCTTTCTTAGATCCATCTTCAAGTTGCTAAACTATTTTTGCTTAGATCACAAATTAAACATTCACAAAAGAATTCAGTTACCTGAAAAGAATTGTCAGAGGAGATTTTAGGGAGAAAAAATTGAGTGAAGGAAGAGTTCTAAGAGAGGAAAAGACAGAGCTGGTTGGTCAGATGTAATATTCTCGTCACCGAGTTCCAGTCACTGTGTTCCAGTCACTGAGTCTGCCATTTAAAATAAAGATGGAGTTGGTGCTGAAATCTTTTCCAGGCTCTTCTCAGCCCAGGGTTGCTCAAGATCAGATGGACTGAGTGGCCAGTTGGGTAAGCAATCATGACAGCTTTGCACAGTGCATCCCAGAAACTGTATGTGTCAAATATGTTTGCCATGGAAATAAACTGAACAACCCCATAGCTGATGTAGAGAATGAGAGAACAGCCAGTAGATTTGATGGCCCCCAAGTGAGCCTCCATGCTGGGATCACTGGAACCTGTGGCATTGCTTTTCATGTGTAGCGTGTGTCTCTTGAGAGAGACGATCAACAGAGTAGCTGCCAGGATGGACAGAATCAGAGGGACAAGGATCCCCAGGTAATAGAAAAAAGCCAGGCTGAGCACATTGGTTTCAGAAAAGTACATGTTCTCCGTGGAGTTGGAGGAAGGGATAGGAATGGAAATATTCATATATACATTGAAGATGTCATTAAAGAAGAGAGTGCTCAAACTGAAGGAACCCAGTATTGACAGACACACAAGACGAGGCATCAACGTGATGATTTTCCTTTTCATTGTGAAGAACAAAGGGTGCATGAAATTCGCAATTTTAAGACAATGGAAGACATTGAGCCAGGCAACAAACCAGAGGTTGGAATAGTTCAGGAACACACTGATGGCTTTGAAGGTTGTATATATCATGGTCTGGTTGTAAATGCCTTGGAATAGTAGACTGTAAGTCATCTCCAGCATTATCCAAATCTGTAGCAGGATTCTGGACAAACTCAGCATCAACATAAGGCAGTCATGATTGGAGAGTCTTTTGTCTCTGATCCACTCAGCCCCGTACATGGTTGTGATGAAGCCATTCCCAATGATGCCAATGATGCACTCTGTTCCACAGACTGAAAAGCCCACAATGATTTTAAACATGGGAATATCGTTTGTGGCATCTGTGATCACTATTGCCATTCTTTCTGACCCTTGACTTTGAGTTTCCACACCAAGAGTTGGTACTTCCGTGCAATTCTCTGACACTCACTCAGTGTTATCTTATTGCTTCCTCTTCAGTGAATGGTTTTTTACAAGCTTGCTTCATTTGCTTGTCACCTGACTGCAAGCTAGAGGCTTGGCATGCAAATGCTGACAGGATCTGGTTACCTGTTCTGTCTCTGTTTTGTTTTCATTTTTTTCTTCATGAAGATTCATTTGTTTGAGGCTTTTAGGAGCTCATTAGAGAAAATGTGCAATGGATATCTGGCATACTTCAAGTCCATCTATACCTGGTAGCATAAGTAAGAATCCCAAGTTAAGAACTTCAGTATTCAATGGCCTTATTATTATCTCACAAGGCCTGTGTTACTTGTTAAAGTATTTGTAAAACACTTTGTTGCTGTATTTTTAATATATATTTTATTGTAAAGATACTGTACAGAGGGATTACAGTTACATGAGCAAGGTAATGAGTCCATTTCCTATTGAACATTGTTACTGCCTCCTTTGTTTTTCCCCTCCCATCCCTTTCCTTCCCACCTCCCCAACTCCTCCCTCCCTCCCCAGAGTTGTAAAGTTCGTTTTCAGCATAGTGTTTGTACATCTCGTTGTTACAATGGGTCATTTCGTATCCTTATTTCTTTGCTGCTGCTTTTACTGCTTGCTCTTGCTTCCTTTCTTACCTTTATTTTGGGAGAGGTTCTTTATTCCTAGGTTATTGTGTGTAAATAAGAATTACCCATTAGCTCATGTGTGCACATCTTTTACTTAGACTCAGGTAATAATGTCCTTAAACAGAAAAGTCAAAATTGTATGCCATTTAGATTAGACAAGAAAGGCTCTCTAGAACCAGAAATGATTAGTTCATGATGTGTCTGCTGCAATGAGCAGATTAATGTCATTATCTCAAGAGCATATCTATTATAACAATGAGTTCATCCCAGTCTTGCTCATCCTTGTCCTCTCCTTCTTCCATGGGATGAAGCAACAACAAGGCCCATGGCAGATGAGGGCTGCTTGACCTTGGGCATCCCAGATTTGAGAACTCTAGAAAAGAAATCTCTGTTCCTTGTAAAGTATTCCATCTCATGCATTCTGTTACAATGGCATAGATGAAAGACAATCAATATCTTGGCTTCCAGGACAATGTCATGAACAAACCCAAGGACAAAGGTTTCCAATTCTTGGCTGATAGGTTTATAAGTTTTGGTTCTGGTGGAGGATGGAACAGACTTGGAAGAACATGACGTGATTAGGGGCGTCATTTTCCTCTCACTTATCTTTCCTCTACTACACAAACTAGAAAATGGCTTTCCAATTGGAGAGAAATGATAGCAGAGCAGTCAGAGAGTTCCGCAGAAGGGGAGGGTTTCTATAGAAAGGTCTTTCTCGAAATGGCTAAATGGGGTATTGAAGGCAGGCAGGGTTTCCAGACAACTTTTAAATTTCCCTCTTGGGAAAGCTTCTAAACCCTTATCATGCTCAAAGGGTTTGAAAGTTACTGAGGGTGATGGTGGATCCCAGAAAGATCTGTAGGTCGTATCGGAGAAACTTGGCAAGTTGGGTTCAGATGAAGCATGGTCCTTCATTTGAAGCCAAAAATGAGGACAGAGGAATACTCACGAGTTAGGCTGCATACCCCTGAGGTGAGCCACGAGTCTGTATGATCCCTGGGCAACATGGATTTCACCAGAGGGAGGGCAGGAAGGAGAAATCCTAAGAAAATCTTGTAAGGATTCAGTTTGGTTCCTTAATTCTGTGAGGTTTTGTCATCTCCCTTTCACCTAGCACAGTTTGAGCTGTGACTCCATCTGGTTGGATTAGCTGGGAACAGGATGGGCTCTGAGATACCCATCTCCCCCTTTTCAAGCCTTGGCAGGTGTAGGAGAGAACAGGAGTCAGAAATTCTATTTTACCCACTGTTTTGTTTCAGTGTGCGCCCCTGGGGCTACTGCTGCCTCACTGGCCAACACTATCTAGCCTTCCAAGGCTTCTGGGTGCTGGTGAGAACATGGGTGAATTCTCTCTACTCTGTTGTCCATAATTCCAGAAGCTCTCCCCTTTTCTCCCTTCCCTCATCTTTTTAGATAAATGGGCTTAGGAGGAGGCTTGCCATTGGGACCATGTCTGGCTGCACCTCTCCTTGGAGGAGATAGATTTACCTTTACTTTTTTTTTTTAAATAGCTACCTCTAGTTGTACAAATGGGTTTCAATTTACCCTTTTGTAATGTGGGTTCTAGGGCCAATTCTGAGACAATAGGAAAAGTGCTGCGCAGAATCTTTTCCTTGAGAAAATGACTTGGTGACTCTTTGGAAATGAGTGAGAGGATATGTTCTTCTGTTAGGTGGGAGGAGAGGTGATTGAGAGGTTGAATTACAGAAAATAATTACAACAGTTTTCAAAATAGTCTCTTGGCTTGTGGAGTCATATCCGCCCTATCATGCGATAAAAGCAATGTACATCTTTGAAAAGTAGAAAATGTTCCACTTCATAAATGGAAGGACATTTTTGGAATGCTTATTTGGCAAAAGAAGCAATCAAAGGAATCAGCATAGATGTTATTATAGATGTAGCCACTGAGGGACAAAGAGCAGAGATATGGGGGGAAAATGCATGTTCAAAATCTAAGGAGCTGAAAAATGAAATGTCAGCAAGGTTTTAACTTGGTTGTTTATAAACTAAGCAGTTCCATACTTAAGTGAGAAATCTGCCTGGAGCATCAAAGTCTTCATATATCAAGTTATAAAAGAATAGCTACTCAATGTAGTGGAATCTCAGGCTTCTGCAAAGAGATAAGCTTGTGCAAGTTTAAATGTGACCAGATATGCTAATTGCTCAATGTTATGGAAATATGCTTAAGAAAATGAAACAGTATGTGAAAATTTAAATGGTGGCATTTGCTATCGCATTTAATCAGGATGCATATTTAGTATATTTGGATGCAATAATTAGTTCTATCTACTCAACTATGGAGTTGAGAATTTTTATACAATTAGAAATATTTTGTATCCTGTGCTCATGACAGGCATGATACTTGGAAGTAACTCAGAAATTAATTTTTTGTGAAGAGAAGAAGCTTTTGAATAATTGAACGTAGATTTGTGTGATGCTGTTCTTGCGATGGATGGTGTTAATATTGGACTGGCAGTGAAACTTAAGCTTCATGTGGCAAATTATGTAAGGACACAAGCTTTGCATATACTCATTTGCATTATTCAGAAGGCATTGCTTTCTGCTAGAAGTTAAAAATGGAAGGTGCCACGGACACAGTTCTCTTCACTTGAGCTGGATCTCCTCGTGGGGCTGGAAGTACAAAGTGTTGATGAATTGGACACATAGCAGGGCGGTCTGCTCACTGCATGGAGGGTGTGTGGCATCATCTCAGCGGGACACAAAGGAGTGTTGTTGAGCTATTGAAAAAATGAACTTCTCACATCATATGAGGGGAAAATAGCCTTGCTGATGCTAAGCAGTGAAGATTACCAAGAGTATGATCATATAATTGGTCTTTTGGGTAGACAAACACTTTGGATATTTCTTCCCTCCCCCAGAAAAGCACCCACAAGTAGTTATAAGACATTATGTGGAAATGTATCTGGCATAACATTATTTAGTCTCCTTTTCTGTGTTAGGATTAGTTTCTAGAAATGTAACCAAATCCTATGATGGAAAATCGTGATACTGACTTTTCTGCATGGCTTACACTGATTTTAGATTTTGTGAAGATATCCTCCTGGTGTTCAGAACATTCAATCAATTTTTACCCAAACCATGAAGGATGAGCCATAGGTATAGGATTCAGAACTTAACATAATGACGTTTGAAGGCTAAGTTCCTATTAGTATTTTAATGATTGTTCAGAGATTTATGCTTGAAAGTGTTGATATTCATGAGCAGTTTGTTTTCAAAGTAGAACTAAATACCACCCCTAGTCACAGCACTTGGTAACCAAGGCTAATTTATGTGTTTATATTACAACTGCCCACAAGATTTAATATGACAGGTTGATGTTAAAGAATAAAAGCGACAAATTTCTGGCTCTGAAATAAAACTTAACTTATAAAAGAACATGTTAGGAAATTATATTTTAACTTTCTTTTTAGAAGTTTGAGTTTGGGATTCAATCTTTCTTCATGAGAAGTTTTTTTGTGTGTGAAAATACCGTATAGAGGGGTTACAGTTACATGGGGGAGAGTAGGTGGGGGATGGGGGGGATGGGAAGGGATGGGAAGGGGAAACAAAGGAGTGGGATTCAATCTTTACATGTATACACTTATAAATTTTGTGACAAAATCAAATAGTTATTTCCCAGGAAGTTTTTTTTATCTTATTCACCTATGGCCCTTTATGTGCTTGGTTTCTGTAAAGGTTGGAGTCTTCTAAACATAAGTTCTGTGCCATCAGTGAATATCACAGCTTTAAATCTTAAAGCTATGTATTTTCTCAGGCATCAGAGTGTGATAGTTTTAAATCTTAGCTAACACCTGTTACCACAAGATGGGGCTGACGAATTCCATTTGGAAAATGGAACAGTTCCTTGGTTTACCACTAGTGAGCAGTCATGCTCTTCTTTTCTAAGCAGGAGCCTCTTGTGGGAAAACAGCTTTTCTGTTTGAGGCAATTGGCTAAGAGTTTTATCAGCTCACTTTTTAATGGGAGGTTGTATTTGTCCTCATGGTCTGAGCGATGCCACTTAAGTATTCTTTTAAAGAACAGTTTGGTTGTATTTACATTTAATATATGTTGCAAATAATAAACTATAGGTCTAAAATAGACTGACTTTAAGTAATGACAGAGCTTGTTTCTAAAGAATAACAGAAGAATAGTACAGAAGAATAGTACAGCAAGAGGACTGGGACTTGTAGCACTGGAACTCTCTGAAGGCGAGTGAACTGAAAAGAGAATCTCCTAAGGTCATACATCTGTTGAGGTTTTTAATGGAATATCAAGGGATGGGAGAGATCTTTTTTTTTTTAT